TTCTAATTATGTATCTTATCTGACTTTGAGAGTGAAAAGGAATAGAGAAATTATATTGTAGACCTATTTGTATTTTTTTTTATTTACTTATAATCCTCTCTGTTTCCATGCCCAAGTTTACATTTTAAATTATATTATATAACATTATGATTGATGATTATAATAATAACATTCAATTAGTATTATTAATTTAGACACTCGTTTTGAGAAGTCATGGCCCCTTCCGGTATAGGCCTCCTCCAAATGCCTTCACTTTTTCCTATCTCTAGCCGATTCCAGTCAGTCTGTGCCTATTAATTTAATGATTTCGTCGATCCAGCGCTCTGTCGGTCTGCCTCTTGCTGTTTTTTTACCTCTTATTTACATTGTATTTGTGTATCACCGTTATATCTCCGGCGCACATGGCTAGTATCAATGAGATTTCCCGTCGTGGCATAAGTAAGTTTTCCCCATGATTGATTTTGTGATCTATATAACAGATACTTTGACTAGATAAACGAATTTAATTTTCGAAATTCGATGTTATTAATTTATTACCTGTCACTTCAGACACTTTAATATTAAAGTTGTGGTTGCGAAATACACCCGATAATATAGCGAGTAAAATGATTTAAAAACAATTTTCATTCATTCGTACGTTTATACAATAAAACCATTAATCAATAAACCTCACGATACAAGCTCATTTTGGTAATTCATACGCAAAAACTATCTGATAACAAAATACCTCACCGCGAATTCGTAGTCACTGCAAAGTGTTGAAAATGTAAGATTCAAAATCAAACAGATTATTAATTTTTGAAAAAAATTAATTTAATATTATTTACAAGAATAACACTAGAAGAAAACGCTACAAATTAACTAAACTCGATAGATAACCTATACATAAATGATTTCTGACTTTGGGGCTTAGACAAGGTGCATTAAAGAATAGAAAATTTAAAAATTGATTAAAATTTTATTTAATTTATTAATTCATTTAATTTGTAATAACAGAATTAAACCAATATCAATTAATTTAATCTAATAACAATTATTGAGTAGCATATAAACTTTCTAACAAAAAAATAAAAACCGACTTCAAAAAAAGCACTAAAAAGTAAAAAAATAACTGATTGGTAGTTTTCATTTACTATACATACCTAATCAAATATTTTCGAAGTCGGTGTGCTTTGCTTTGTATAGGCTGGCACCGACTTCGAAAATATGAAGAGTTCAACCTATCCACCTTCTGGCCTTACACTGCACTATCAACGAAAATAGAAACACTCGCAAAGTTTCAAGTCAATATGACAATTAGAAGTACGTTAAATTAATCATAAGCAAATTTTCCACCCTTAGGGGTGGTTTTTTTTTTTAAATTTAAATGGGACCAATCTGGAAGTATATACTTTCAAAAAAAAACAAAAATTATTCATATCGGCTAATAAATGACGGAGTTCTGAGGTAACAAACATAAAAAAACATACAGCCGAATTGAGAACCTCCTCCTTTTTGAGTAAGTCGGTTGAAAATGATAAAAATCGGTGGCAAAGTATCACAATTTGTCGTGGTCTTTATTTTATTTTTTTATTTTTTATTTCTATTCTTCAACGATTGAAGAAAAGTCTTGTCGCGTACACCGTCTTTAGAAATAGAGAATGGACTGTTTCTTCGCAACCTATAAAGTAAAATTTGCGGAAAAGAGCGAGTGTCAAATCGAATGTGCAGCCTTCTTTATTGATCGAAATACAATCTAAATGAAGATAGATATATAAATATTACAAGTATGTATAAATAAATATGTTTTGATATTGACACTTTTTCATTTTTATGTAATAAATATAATCCATACTAATATTATAATTGTGAAAGTGTGTTTGTTTGTTTGTCTTTCTTTCACGTCTACACGGAGTGACTGATTGACGTGATTTTTTGTGTCGAGATAATAATAATAATAAAAAATTTACCGCTTGAAGATAATTTTATTCCCACGGGACAAGACGTTCTAATAGTACGATAATATAACCCAAAAATTATTTATGATAAGAATTACTTGAAACTTGGTATTAACGCTCTTCAATACAATTAAATAAATACGTGTTTTAGCATTTTTCGAAATTCATCCCACAAGAGGGTAAAATAGAGGATGAAAGTTTATAGTTTAGAGTTTTTTTTGTAGTTTTAGCGCGAGCGTAGCCGCGGGTTTTGCTAGTATATACATATATAAAAATAGCAGCAGAAAAAACAGGTTTTACCCGCACAGTGGCTTTAGCTTATTCTACGGAATAACTTTTTTCAGGCCAACGCTTGGTCCATTGTTTATGTCTATGCATACGACCCTTATTATTTAATTCGAGACCAAAGACGTCAGACAGCCAGTCTTTTAACATCTCTACTGCGTTATAAGGTTATATATTTTGTGTTTGATATTTAAACACCCTTTCAAGACATTTTGCTTCATTTTTCATCAAATCAAACCGAATCACAACAATGTACCTGAATGACACAAAACAAAGGTTTTCAATCTAAACATCTCACGTTGTGCTCAAATAAATTGAATTTGTATAGTACAGGGAACTCCGAATATAACAGTCTCTGAATTACGACTCCGCTACGAGTATATTCGTGTATAGTTGATGCATTCAAACTGAGGGATGTAGTTTACGTGACCGATTTTGCTTATACTGCGAGTCCGTATTGGGAAGATTTAAGTTAACGTTACAAAATTTTAAATAAAGTATTCAAATGTACATAATATGTTATCTATGTATAAAAACTTTAAAATAAAACTGACTTCCAGGCACTAAAATGTAAAAAATTACTAAATGGAGGTTTTCATTTAGAATAGATACCTAATATATATCGATACGTAAAACAAGCGTATTCGATTAAGCAATTAAAAAAAATTTGTAGATTTTTTAAAAAACCGCTCGACCAATTTCGATTAAATGTACCTATACCCTACCTGGGAAGTATACCCTTCGTAACAAAAAAAAAACAAATTGGTTCAGGTGTCTTCGAGTAATCGGTGAACATACATAAAAAAAAGTATTCGACGAATTGAGAACCTCCTCTTTTTTGGAAGTTGGTTAAAAATGATTATGGTCGATTTTCAACCACTGGATGAACGTAAGTAAACGTAAATACGCGAGCGAAGGAAGAATAAGTCGCTAGTTAATCTATACAAAAAAGGCAAATTCTCATTTCGTAATACTATAACTATTTATTCAGTACTAGCATTGCTCGCGGCTCCGCCCGCGTTCAGATGACCAAAGATCAAATTCTAAGTTTTACATATTAGTATTTTACATATTAATATTAAACAATCCAGGTTTTGTATTTTTTCTCAGAAATTAGATATTTTCACACGGTAAAAAGTATCCTATATGTTGACCTGGATAACCAGCTATCACTATATTAAAATCCCCCCAGTGGTTTTTCTGTGATGCGGTAACAGACAGACAGACAGACAAAGATTCTAAAAACTACAGATTCAGCCTCTGTATCGATAATAATGTCTATTTCAATAAGATTTTCCAAAAAATATTTAATGTACAGATTCGGCTTAGTTACAATTTTATTATATGTATAGATGTACTTACATCAGTTACGATATTCATGATAGTTACTTCGCAGTCAATGTTAAATAATTTCATCTAAAATACTCAAATAAAAACGGTTCCAACGAGCTTTTGCTTCTTTCTTAGAATTGTCATTTGATTTCTAATTCATTTAGAAGTTCTCGTCAAAACGACTTAAATATAATGTTACAAGGAAAATTTTCATTGAATTTAAATCAAAGGAAATCTGAGAAACTCCAATCGCTAATGCGTCGTAATATTTCTCTAATTTGTGAATTCTTCAGAAACGCAATTTCATTTACTAATAACTATAACATTTATGCCATTGGAAATGAGTTTAACTTCGATCTCTTGAAGTTGCTAGTTTGATTCTACTGACTATTGGACAGCAATTTAAAAAAAAATGGCTTATGATATGAGAAATAAGAAATATAAGTCGTTGTTAACTAAGTGTGCCTTGGCAGCTTTGAGAAGCTCAGCGCCGGACATTGGGGTACCTATGCGTACCACATAATCTCCTCTTTCCGATGACAGCGGTGTTTTATATTTCCGGCTGACTACAGCACGAGCTGAGGCTGATATATTGAATTTTTATATCTTGTATACACTTCCTGGTTATTATTTCCTATAAATTTCGTCTAAATTACACGTATATTTGTTTAAATCGGTCGGAATAAATTCTATAAACAGTGAGTGAGCGAGCGAGAGCGGCGATTATAGTTATAAATATTGAGCCGCTAGTTATAAATATTTTGCATATTTGAAAATTAGTAAAAATAGTAATCTTTAAAGATAGCAACGGAAAGAATATCATATACCTACCTATATCATTTTTACAGTCAATAACAACGGTTACTATGGCAGCCCAATGCAACCTATTTCGTTAAAATTCACTTTTCTGACCTGGTACCCGTATGTTTTGGTGTGATTTTAAAGAAGTTTCACGTCAAAAAGTATCGTACACTAGCTAGCTTACCTTTTAACCTTTAGTGTAGATGTCTCAGAAATGAGATATTTTCCCGCAATAAAAAGTATCCTATATGTTGACCCGGATAACCAGCTATCATCATACTAAATTTCATCAAAATCTATCCAGTGGTTTCCCCGTGACGCGATAAAAGACAGACAGGCATACAAAAAATCTAAAAACTATAGATTCGGCCTCTGTATCGATAATAAAGTCTATTTCAATAAAATTTTCAAATAATATTTAATGTACAGATTCGGCTTAGTTACAATTTTATTATATGTATAGATAAGATGTAGAATGTAGAGGTTTCTAAATTGACAATAGTACACGAAAACTTTTTGCGAAGAAATTTTGATATCGGATGACAATATTTCTATTTATTTTTTGCCACCTTCTATACTGAAATCCTATGTAAATATATTTACCTAAATACAGATTATTAAATTTATCGACTCCTTTTGTTTCAGAACTTAACGCAACAAAATCAACGGAGAGTTCTTCGGACAAGCAAGAAGATGTACTCTACCAGAAAGACGTATCTTTCTCAGCTGAACTAGAAATAGCACCGTCCAGTAGACTTAGTAAATCTAATGTAAGCGAAAAATTTATCGATGAAAGCAAACGAAAACCACCAACACTCCCAACACCTGTAGATAACGTTAACTTTAATAGTTACGTAAATTACAACTACACGTTTACGGGAGAAAGATCTAAGGAATTGGATGGGTTGAAAAGTCTTATAGAGGATGGAGTTAGTAAAATTGATTTGAATATAATCGCTGATGATAAGGAGAAAGATGTGTTGATAGAAACAAGTAATGTCAAGGTCACGACACTTGGACCTAGTTTAGAACAAAAAGTAAGTATTTTTAGTACATTGCTAATAGTATTATAAAAAACTTTTTAACAAAAAAATAAAAACCGACTTCAAGCAAAAGCACTAAAAAGTAAAAAATAACTGATTGGTAGTTTTCATTTACTATACATACCTAATCAAATATTTTCGAAGTCGGTGTGTTTTGCTTTGTATCGGCTGGCACCGAATCGGTTAATAAATGACGGAGTTCTGAGGTAACAAACATAAAAAAATATAGCCGAATTGAGAACCTCCTCCTTTTTGAGGAAGTTGGTTGAAAAGAGATTCTATAGACTGTAGTTTGTATTTCGGATTCATTATTTACATCATCATGGCATCGTTAATTAAAAGCAGAGAATAATATTAAATGTTTAAACACCGCCATTTTGTGCGCTTTGGAATGACGTCACATAATTACTATTAATCTCTTTTGTTTTCATCGAATCCTATAATTACCAAAAAATTGTCAATAATATTGACATAGCTTCTGGTATTTTGTTCTAAACAATAGTGTTGCGTTTTTCAATTTTTTTTTTGCGGATTTTGTATTACAATTTATTTATAATTTATGCGATAAAAATCACAAATTGTAATGGACAAAAAAATGAATGAATACAAAAATACAGTTGAAGCAAATATTAGTGTCATATATATATATATATATATATATATGACGGCGCATTGACATTTTTGAGAGTGACGTTTCGACACTCTGACACAACCCCGGGCGCTAGTGAGCATTAGCGTGTGAGTCGAGACGGACATTACTTTTGTCATTCGATTCGCATCGCATCGTTACATTACGTGTTCGGTGGAGTGTCTGTGTTTGAATTTTTAATTGAAATTAAGAACTGTTAAGAATTGTGAAGTGTTAATGAACAATTGTAAAAGGGATTATAATTAGTGATTATATTGTGTATGATTTGTGAAGCGTCGTTTTATTCTCTTCGTCCGTCAACTCACGTCTACCCACATTATAGTAATAATTATTGAATATGGAAACGATTAATAATGATGATAGAGGCCAAGTGCCTTTATCAGAAGTGGGATTTGCAGGACAAAGATCTGAAGAGAATATGCAAAGTAATAAAGCGTCGACGTCATCGCAGGAACCCAGCTTTCTACAGAATATGGAAATGTTACTAACTAGATTATTAGCGGCTACTCATGCGCAACCTACGAGTAATCCTCCGATACAATTGATTCAGTTTGACCCTGATTGTGTGGATGCGGACATAGAAGGTTGGTGTAAAGTGACCGAAATCATTGTTGATAGCAAGAAGTTAGAAGGTGCGGAATTACTATTATTGCTTACACATGCCCTTAAGGGACGGGCCGCTTCTTGTCTCACCAAACTACAACCATCTCAACTAACATGGTTGCAAATAAAAGAAATTCTATTGGCAAAGTTCGCTAAGCCTATGTTACCACAGGATTATTTCGATGAAGTGCTTCGATTTCAAATAGGCCTAAAAGAATCGGCATGTGAGGCGGCGATACGACTATGGAGCATTATAGAACGCATTCCCCGTACGGAGATGGCTGAAGACATAATCACAGAATTTGTAGCGTCAGTGTTGAGTCAAAAGGATGTCATTATTCGTAGGGAGCTTCATTCTCATAATGTGGCAACTAGATCTCAACTCTTTCGCATTCTAAATGGAATATCATTAAAGCGGAGGCATGATGGTAACGACAGCCAAGAAATTGAAGTTAAAAGGACTCGTTTTAATGAAGGTCGCTTTACGGGAGCATGTCACCGTTGCGGAGTGCCAGGACATAGAGCTATTGACTGCCGTAAAAAGCGCGAAGACCCTAGTTCCGTAGAAAAGACACCAAGCCAATCGTTTAGAATACCTGATAAGACGCGAGTGATTACGTGCTATGTATGTGGACAGTCGGGGCACCTCGCGTCAACATGCCCAGAAAGAAAAGGAGGGAGCAGCGCACAGATAGTCAAGGAGGTCAACATCTGCGAGCGCAAATCATCGATGAGCACGTTAACTACATCATCTGGTGAGCCCGTTTCATTTCTTTTTGATAGTGGATCTGCTTGTTCGTTAGTCACATGTAGCTTTTCTAAAAAGTTTTCGGGTACGATTGAAAATAATTTGGTATATTTAACAGGAATAGGTAGAGAAAATGTAAAATGTAATTCACAAGTTCTTAGTTCCATCAATGTACAAGGTATTTCATTATCAGTATTATTTCATATAGTACCGGACGGCACCATTGCAGAGCCCGTAATTTTAGGTCGAGATTTATTAGAAAATAACATTCATGTCGAAATCAATAATGACCATCTTATATTTTCATTACGTAAAGATATTAGTGTAACTGAAAAACCGAACTATTTTAATTTTCTAAATACAGATCTAGACGGTGATAATAAAATTGCTCTAATTAAAATACTGCAAAAATACAGCGACTGCTTTATCGATGGCATTCCGACACGACGTGTTTCTACAGGTGTATTACGAATAGATCCGATTGACCCCACTAAAACTGTACAAAGGCGCCCCTATAGATTAGCCCCCGCGGAAAAAGAAATTGTCAGACAGAAAGTTGAAGCTCTTTTAAATGCAGGTGTCATTAGAGAAAGTCACTCTCCTTTCGCTAGCCCGATTTTGTTGGTCAAAAAAAAGGATAATACAGATAGAATGTGCGTAGATTATCGGGAGCTCAATTCTAATACACGACCCGAACATTACCCATTGCCAAGAATTGATGAACAAATAGATCGTCTTCATGGTGCCCATTACTTTTCCTCATTAGATATGGCGTCTGGTTATCACCAAATATTGGTAGATCCCGATAGCATAGCACGAACGGCATTTGTGACCCCGGAAGGACAGTATGAGTACCTGGCAATGCCATTCGGGCTTCGAAATGCAGCATCTGTTTATCAAAGGTGCATTAATAAAGCACTAGGTCCCTTAAAAGATAACGTGGCATTAGCCTACATGGACGATGTCTTATGCTACTCTGATGACATTAAAAAGGGCTTGGAGCGCCTAGATTCCACGCTAAAAGCACTTTCTGACGCGGGCTTCTCGTTTAATATTAAGAAATGTGCATTCTTGAAAAAGGAAATTGATTATCTGGGGTATGTAATAAAAGCGGGAAAGGTAACTCCAAATCCTACAAAAGTGCAAGCTTTAGCAAACGCTCCCACACCTAAAACAGCTACACATGTTAGGCAGTTCCTGGGGCTTGCGTCCTACTTTAGACGTTTTATTCCTAATTTCACCCGTATTGTGGGACCCTTGTACCCACTAACAAAATTAAAAGGCCCAATTAAATGGTCAGAGACACACAGTGAGATTCACAAAAAGATTGTTGATATACTTACTACAGAACCGGTTTTAACAATTTTTGATAGGGACTCACCAATAGAACTGCACACTGACGCAAGTTCGGAAGGATATGGCGCGATACTCATTCAAAGAAAGAATGGTGCACCTCATGTTATTTCGTATTTTAGCCGCAGAACAACAGACACAGAATCGCGATATCACTCTTATGAGTTGGAAACGCTGGCTGTTGTTCGAGCTGTAGAAAATTTTCGCCATTACTTGTATGGTCAGCATTTTACAGTATTTACAGACTGCAACTCTCTTAAAGCGTCTAAATCGAAAACTGATTTAACCCCGCGTGTTCATCGGTGGTGGGCTTTCTTGCAAGCGTATGATTTTGATATTGTGCATAAACAGGGAAAGAGTATGGAACATGCTGACTTCTTGTCAAGAAATCCACTTTCAGAACCAGCCCCTGGACCCTCTCATACAAATGATGACTCTGGTTTATCCAAGAAAGGTAAGCATGTTCATTTTGTAGAGTTGCATAAGGGTTGGCTTTCTGTGGAACAGAAACGCGATAGAGAGATTCAAGATCTTATCAGTAAGTACAATGACAAAGATTTACCAGAATTAGTTGCGCATACTTACGATGTCCGAAAAGGCATTCTTTATAGGAAGATAGAACGTAACAAGACTACTTTTTGGTTGCCAGTCGTACCTAGGTCTCTTACGTGGACTTTGATTAATCATGTGCATACAGAAATTAAGCACCTTGGAGCTGAAAAGACCCTTGACAAAATATATGAGCAATATTGGTTTCCACAGATAGCTAAGCAAGTTCGTAAATTTATTGAATCTTGCATAGTTTGCAAAGCCTCAAAGGGTTGTTCAGGGGCTCAGCAGGTACAACTCCACCCAATACCGAAAGTAGCAACACCATGGGATACAATACATATCGACATGACAGGGAAACTCAGTGGAAAGAGTGATAGGAAAGAATACGCCTCAGTCATAATCGATTCCTTCACAAAATATGTCCTACTTGAGTATACACCCTCACTTGATGCGGCAAGTGCCATTAAAGCTCTTAGAAAAGCTGTCTGTCTGTTCGGTGCCCCAAAACGGATTATTGCTGATCAGGGTCGGTGTTATATAAGCGCAGACTTTAAACAATTCTGCAGCGATCATAACATGGAGCTTCACCTTACTGCTACTGGCTCTAGCAGGGCTAACGGCCAAGTTGAGCGGGTGATGAGGACTTTGAAATGCTTACTTACAATAGTAGAAAACGAAACCAATAAAACATGGAGAGACGAACTCCCGGAGGTACAGCTAGCTCTTAACTCGACGCGTTCTAGAGTAACCGGATATACACCAACAGAATTGATGTTTGGCATACGAGCACAGTCCTTGGGAATGTCTAGCATATTACCGCACTCAGAGCCCGAATCTCGTCTAGACTTAAACGCAATTCGTCAGGATGCATCTTCAAACATTGAAAAAACTGCCACTGCTGATACTATACGTTTCAACCGCGGTAGAGCAACAGTAAAACCTTTTATGCAAGGGGATTTCGTCTTTATAAAATGTAGCGAACGTAATCAAACGAAACTGCAACGAAAGTTTAAAGGACCTTTTGTTATTTCGCGAGTGTTAGATAATGATAGGTATGAGCTCAGGGACATTGATGGATCTAACAGAACTTATAAATATGCCCATGAAAATTTACGTGCCGTACCCGAAGGCTATAGTGGATTAGTTGAAGCAGCTACTATCTTAATTAATAATGCGGAGGAAGCCGAGACGGCGATCCACGGTCAAGAGAATGAGGGGGTACCATCTGACGATGATAGTGATACAATGTCTATAGCTAGTTCGCAAACTCTTACCGCTAGTTCGGGGACCCTCTCAGCCTCTGAGCGTGATGAAAACTAAATCGTAAGTTTACTTGATAGTAGAGCCTTGTTTAATGTTACTCTGTCATTTTTCTTAATATATGTGCTCATGTGTGACATACTGAAGTTAATGGGTTCGAGAAGTGTCTGGGCGTTAGAACTGGCTCATGCGGGTCGATGTTCTAAGACAGACTGTAGTAGAGTGTTTGTGGTGTTGTACTGGAGACGGTAATCGGTCAAGGAAACTGGCTTATGTAGGTCGATGTTTCGGATCAGATTACCGGTCGCGTATATGAAGTCTGATTGTGTTAGATGGTCGAAGGGACGCTGAGGGGTTGTCCGGTCTATGTCAGCATTGCGAATGTTGGCTAGTCGAAGGGACGCCTATGTTCAGTTATCCGGTCCATTCTATAGGTGAAATGGAAAGTCACACATGACATGAGACATAAAATTTTCGCAGTAACTATATTGAGTCAGGGATGAGCGAGCGTACTGGAAAAAACATGATGTTTTATCTTTGCAGATTAACTAGAACAGCGAGGTGAGAAGAGGCACGAGGGCGTGCTATCGTCAGTCCGGCCGTGACGGCGCATTGACATTTTTGAGAGTGACGTTTCGACACTCTGACACAACCCCGGGCGCTAGTGAGCATTAGCGTGTGAGTCGAGACGGACATTACTTTTGTCATTCGATTCGCATCGCATCGTTACATTACGTGTTCGGTGGAGTGTCTGTGTTTGAATTTTTAATTGAAATTAAGAACTGTTAAGAATTGTGAAGTGTTAATGAACAATTGTAAAAGGGATTATAATTAGTGATTATATTGTGTATGATTTGTGAAGCGTCGTTTTATTCTCTTCGTCCGTCAACTCACGTCTACCCACATTATAGTAATAATTATTGAATATGGAAACGATTAATAATGATGATAGAGGCCAAGTGCCTTTATATATATATATATATATATATATATATATGAAATATACATGTCAGCCTCATATAATATATGTACATACCTATACTCTTTTAAGTCAGGCATATTTTTAGTCAGACATTTTTTAGTTTATTAATTTTCTACAGAAAACATTTTTTTCTCAAAAATCTTTAAAGTATTACGAACGTTTTAAACACAAAACTAGCCAAATCAGGCCAGCTGTTCTCAAGGGATACGCTTACCAACAAACAGCATTCCATTTCTCCTAAATAGGTTCAACCATGCGTATGAACTGCCTTACAAAGGAATATCCATCCCAATTATATGAAAAATCAGCAATTTATCTAAATTCCAATATAAACTTGCTACAGTAACAAAGCATGCGATATAAATAAAAAAATTACTAACGTATCATTCCACGTCAATGGCTGAGCATTTGAAGGAGAAAAGATATTAGAAATAAGCCGACCTTTGCGAAATTCAGATGATTTAATAATTTTCATAGAAAAATTACGCATTGTTTTTTTTTCATATAATCATTACTAAAATAAATGTAATAGAAGCTAGATAAAATTCACTTAGCCTTTGTTTAAGAAGTCATTCTTTTGACTACACTCCGTAAGCTTTTCAAGCAAAAAGATTTGAAATATTAATTCTTTTACATATATATAGTTTTAAAACAATTTGTGGTCGTTGAATTTATTTGTTTATTATACATGAACTAGCGACTCACCCTCGCTTTTCTCGGGTTTGTCTCTAGCTTGCTTACCCATACAAACTTTCATCCTCATTTTCAACCCCTTAAGGGATGATTTCCGGGATAAAAAGTATCCTAGGTCCTTCTCAGGGTCTCAAACTATCTTCTTACCAAATTTCATCCAAATCGGTTCAGTACATCCAGATATTTCCCGCAACAACGTCCAAAATCACAAACTCAAAAACTTTACCTCTTTATAATATTAGTATAGATAGAGTATCAGTAGTAAAAGTATAAAGACCCGAGATTTGAACCCAGGATCTACCGAATTTGCAGCCAATATGCAATTATAAGTCATAAAACCTATATAGACTTGCTCAGTGCTTAGACAAATAACTGGACAAATATGTATATAATATAAATATCTCCCGCTAGTTTCGCTATTCAGTAATATTGGTCGCCTATATTCAGTATTCAAGATATTATATCATCTAATATATGTACATGATATGTAATCAGGTCCCAGAGGGAACGTCTTCGCCGGCAAGAACGACGGCGGTGGAGAGTTGCAGCTGTGACTCGTGTAGCGATGCTAGGTGTACTTGCGCTACCACTAAATGCAAACCAAGTAAGTTTATTGTACCAGTTAGGTTTTAGTCTTTTTAAATTAGTTTTTTTTCTGATAATACTTTTTTAGATTTACACAAATCTTTGACATATACCTATATATATATATATATAGCACCTGGGCTACCAAGCTTCGCTCGTAGTTTTTGGCCTAAAGTACTTTTTTTTTTAAAGAAACAAAAGTAAAACGTATGCAACCGAGATTCGAATTCGAACCGGTATTGTTAATCTTGCACCTTGGCCACTTGACCACGATGCTTACCATATATTGCGTGGAATAATGCAAAAGAAAACTGCGTGAAAACTCTAAAACACGCGTTTTCTCAGACATAAGACTAATCTAGATCGATTTATCGCCCCCGAAACCACCGTGTCCTAAATTTCATGAAAATCGTTGGAGCTGTTTCCAAGATTCAGATTATATATATATACAAGAATTGCTCGTTTAAAGATATAAGATTAACGTGCTTTAATGCTATTAGTTATTATAAAGAGACTGCTTTTCAAAGAGAATATCTCCAATAATAATAACATATATTTCACAATTTACTCGAACATATTTTAAACATACACACACACATATATAATATATATAATATATATATAATATATATGTCGATAGATACATGAAATATGAAATACCTTACAATAGTTTCAAAATAACCAAATACATAGTTCACAACTTAGTGGTAAAGCGCTTCGGTCAGATTTGTGCCCAAATATTTTAAGCAGCTACAAGTTTGTCCTTTCAGTATTATACGTACATTTATGATGACTATAGCTGTACGTGTTGTATATTATTTCAAACTAGTTTTCGAACGGCTTCACCCGCTCAGTTCTTTAAAAATATAATTTAAAAAATGTTAAACAGAGAATATACATAGGCCAATATGGTAGTGGTAGCCCAGTGGTGACGCGCTCGCTTGGGTAACCGAGTGAAGCGGGTTCAAACCCGGGTCTCGCACCTCTGATATTTTCATGTGCGAATCATTTTCAACATGATTACTACTTGTGTTACGGTGAAGGAAAACATCGTGAGGAAAACAGCATGTCTGAGAGAACCTAACAAGTTATAGAAAGACATATGAAATTCACCAACCCGCACTTGCCAGCATGGTGGAGTATGGCCTGATCCCCCTCGTATTGAAGGGAGTCCCGTCGCAGCAGTGGGACGTTTAAAACGGCTGAATCCTATACATAGCCGATATAACAAGACGTTACTAGACATTAGTCAAAAATAAAACTTCAATAAATACTATTTGACATTGTTAAGCTAAGTATTGGAAAAAGTTTTATATTTAACTCCAATACAATACAATACAATACAAAACAAGCTAGCACGTTTCACTCAGACCCGTCTCAAGATGCCTAACAGCTTATGTATTACTCCAGACCGTAGTATATATTGAATTTCATCTAAATCCGTCCAACCGTTTCGGCCTGAATGAGTACATGTACAAACAACACATACAAACTTTGCAATTATAATTGTAGTCAGATTGAAACATTAAGCATTCCATTTAAATTGTAACCTTTAGCTTCTGGTATATAAATAACTTTATAACTTTCTCACATACAAAATAATTAAATACTAAAAGAAAAACTTGAATGATATAGCAAATAAATATCATTACTTTTAATAAATGGCCCTGAAGATATTTTGCAAGGGTACCCTTTATTGTTTATAAATTAGAAATTCACGTCTTTATAATAAAAAAGAAACAGTGGTAGATAAATGGAAAATACCCGTAGATTTCGTATTGTACGTACGTTTCGTAGCATTTCGTAGCATCATCGAACTTTCGTAGCTAATTAAAACTTTTAACTAAGCCTTTTAGCAGTTAAAAAAAGATATTTCTTTAATGCTATCTAATAATGATACAACGATAAAACATTGTTTAAGGATAATAATATTTGTAAAAATTCTGTTTGTCATTTTTTTGGGAAGTTTTAATATTTAAGTTATTAAAAATTTGTAATAAAATGACAAACAGAAACGCTCAAACTAATATATATTTTTACATTTATATTATCTTAATTATAGTGGCCGAGTAATGGTTTGCTTACTGAGTGTATATTACTGGTAGTTCCTACTATATAGGAAGTCCAGGGTTCGATTTACAAATTATGACGAATATTTAAGCGGAAAATATGATATATGAATATACGTCATGCCTGACTTAGATGAATTGTTGTAACATGAAAATTGTGCACGTTACTCCGCTAGAGAGGCTATAAAAAGTCTAAAACTGAGTAATTTTATATGAAATGTCATACTTCGTTGTCTTGTCATCAAACTCTGTATATAAACCTAAAATTAAATATTTTCTGGCTATTTTAAATAAAACTATCTTTTCGGATTATTTCGCTGATTTATTTTGATTTTTGGTTCCCAACGTTTCGAACGCTTTACAGCAATCATGGTCACGGGAGAGAATGAGGTGTTAGATGTCTCGAAGGTATAGTTGTTACAGACAGCCTACCCATAATTAACAAAATGAAAAATTGTACCAAGTACCTTACAATATTTTATAAATTTAAACATTTTTATAATTTTAATTAGTTTTATAATTGAATATGAATATTATTTATTTAATTTTTGCTGTTATCATTATAATTATTACAATTGTAAAAAATATTAATTAGTAATCTACATATATTTAGTGTTGCCATTAGTATAATTATAACCATAAAGAAAAAATATAAAATATAATATTAAGTATTTAAACCACATAATTGTTCATTGTGTAATTTAAAAAGTTAAAATTAATTAAGTTTAATTAAATAATTTTAATTTAGTTTGCTATTATTTAAAAAAACAATTTACTAGGCAACACTATTACTACATACTTTTACAAATGAAAAAAAAGAAAGTATTAACTTTCTGGCTAGTAAAAAACATTTATTGCAAATAACCAGACAGATACCTAATATTTTTATAAGATTTTTTTTTACAATTTTTTTATCAGACGTATAGTACTAAAAAACTAAAAGAGCTTAAGCTACGCTTTAATTTCATTGTACAAAAAGCTCCTATCTTCTTTAAAAATAAAAAGAAAATCGCTAAGGCAATAGTAGCTACTGCGTATAATTTCCTAACTTCAAAATAAATTACTCAAGTATCTACGAGATTGCACTTTGAATTCTCGTAGTTCGCGAACAAGTGCTACGTCGTAGCATGTTGTAGCGTTTCGTAGCGTTATTGTCTCTTTCGTACCCAATTAAAACTTTTCTTCGAGTATCGAAAGTCACATATTGCATTTAACTAAAACACATTCGATTATAGATCTTATGTCTATTGCTGTAGAATCTATATTGTTATTTAGTTGTAAATGTATTAACTTACATGTAACATGCTACGTAATGGTCTGAAATAAATTTCAAACTTGTGATCGAATAGATTGCGATATATTCAAAGAGCAGTGAGACCGATCTTTTAATTTCCATTAATATTATAAATGCGAAAGTTTGGATGGATGGATGTTTGTTATTCAATCACGCCAGAACGGCTGAACGGATCTATATGAAATTTGCCACAGAGATAGATTATAGTTTAGAATAGCACATAAGTTACCTTTTATCCTGAAAAAATATATGGTTCCCGTGGGATAGATTTGTTTTTGTTTTTCACAGAGCAAGGGAACGACTATCTATTCCATACTAACCGATAAAACCTACCTAGAGATGAACTGGAGCGAAGCGAGAGTTAGGTGCTAGTACGATATACAATTTTTTACAACGCAAAGACAAAATTCTTTAATGTAGGAAACTATTTAATAAATAAAAAATACCGAATTATCATGTAACTTCCAGTTTTGTCCTCCTCTTATTAAAGGTGTTGACTCGTTCCATAATCAAGAGATAAACACGTTAGCGCGTTTTCCCATAACTATGCAAATTGAGTACTGCCTTCTAATTTCCTTTTTGTGCTCTGCCAGCCAATGTAGCTAAGGTATGGAAAAGTATAGGTACTGACTCGATATGAGAGAATCCTCATCCCCATTGGATTCTCATCTAAGATATTAACTACAAACTGTAATATGTGTATAATTGTAACTGAAAGAGCTAGATGGATTTGGAATAGATATATGTGTAGAATTATTAAGTATTAGGTTTGTATTGTGGTATGTACTGCATATTATATTTACCCACCCTGTGTAGTCTTTCATATTTCCTGGTCAAAGAGAAGAGAAGAATTGATTTGTTGGATTTGTGTCCGACCTGAATAGCAGAATAACTATTAAAACAACGAAAAATTCACTTTAAAATTTACATGGCTAACGCTGGATAACAATTATTTATATCTATATAATGTATCTAAGGTACCGCTAGTAATATTATAAATAAAAAATACCTAGGTCACCTGTCACCATCCAAGCGAGGTCGCTAGCTTTAAATAGCCAATGTAATAGTCCCCGTAAATTGTAATATGGCCGTTGTTTAATGTAGGCATAAATTATACCCCATCTCCGTCCTCTTTAATCAAACAGCTTTATGACAAACGCAATCAGCCAAATAGCCTTTAGTAAATATTGTAATTATTTCACCGTAATATACAATTAAGGTTAAAGCTTACACAATACATTATACCTATATTTAAATTGTCATCAGCTTTTATATTTATAAGTTCGGAGCTTGGATTAAAAAAGCTAATTTTTTTGTATTGTAAAGTATTATTAAATAAAAGTTCATATCAGTGACTTCCGTTTTTTTTCGCCACGAATATCAGAATAACTATTAAAACATTAGAAAAATTCCCGAAAAAAAATAGCTAACGCTGGCTAATACCTATATATATATATATATATATATATATATATATATATATATATATATATATATATGTATATATGTATATATATGTAATGTATGCACTAACACAACTCCTATTACCTCGTTGTAGAAAAATCAACAAAGAGAACACCCTTTTAAGCATTTATAATAATTAAGTAGATATTTTACTAGTGAAATGCTTATGAATTGCAAACCGGAAAGCTTAAA